CCACTTCCATCATGTCCTAGGACAGGGTGAAAAGGCACCCTCTAAAGGCAAATACTCCCCAGTGTCCCTTCCTCTGCATAGGGACCAAGTGCAGGTGAGGTGGAGGGACTGAAGAGGGGCTTGGTGGTTTTGTAGGCATCTTGCGAGCTTTCTGGGCACTGTGAGGCACTGGCAAGTCCTCCCTGCTTATTCTGAGCTCTTCAGTTCTGCTGGTTGCAGACCTTTGGGCAGGGAGGGACATAGTCATCATCGTTGCTGTGCACCCTGTGCACTCATCCTCTCTGGTCTCCAACATGCTCTAGCACACCAGCTTCAGTGGGTGTCCTGGGGAGCTGAGGGAGTCAAGTGAAGAAGAAATCAGCTGTCGGGCCAGGAGAGCTTTTCATGCAGAGCAGTTTGGCCTTTTGGTGGAGCATCAGCGTGGGGTGGAGGTGCCCAGGCAGCTCCTTCATCTCTCTCCAGCCACATGAAGAAGGCTCCCTCTCGTGGGGACCTGCTTGCACTGGTGGCCCGTTCCAGTGCTGGGGAAGCTGCAGCAGAGGGACACAACAGCCATGATAAAGGAAGGTGGACTTCCCAGCCCTGACTGCTTCTCTGAAGACCAGTTGGGCATTTCATTCCTCCAGCCTTGAGGGTACAGGGGGGTCGGTCCTCAGGTCACGGCGCTCCCTGGCATCTTCTCGTAGGCCTCCCGGGTGTCCTTCTCTTTCTCTCTGCCCCCCAAGGCACCTCCCCCTCGGACGAGTCGGGGGAACGGGAGCGGGACCCCAAGGTGCTGACCTTCCCTGAGTACATTGCCAGCCTCTCCGAGTCGGGCACCAAGCGCGTGGCGGCCGGCGTGCGGCTGGAGTGCCGGAGCCGCGGGCACTGCCCGCCCTCCTGCCCCCTCTGCCACCTCGCCTCTGCCTCCGAGGGGCCGGCCGAGCCCATCCTGCTGGAGGTCACCAAAGCTGCCCCCATCTACGAGCTGGTCACCAACAACCAGACCCAGCGGGTGAGGAACTCACCGGGTGGTCGCGGGTTGGGCTTCCCAGGCGGGTTGTCTTGGTAGCGTCGTGGCAAGTCCTGCTCCCCGGGGTGGGTGGGCTGAATCCAGGCTGGGGGGGGAGG